AGTCGGTTCCCGGAATATTTACAACTTCCTCTCGAGATTCCTTAGCGATACATTAAATTACGTTCTGTCGGTTACGAAAGCTTTTTGCGGAAGTTCACGGATACGTCTCTTATACGATGTAGCTAACTTTACTCGTAGAAATTCTGGAAAAGTAACTGCCTATCGATTAACGGTGACTATACAGTAACAATTCTTTTTCTCTTTTCTCCCGAACTAATGTTATTTTTACGATGTGAAACGCGGATATCGATGAAGAAGCGAGGAACGCACTTCGTCGAGCGAGATTCGTCGAAATTTGCTGGTTATTCGTCTCCGCGCGAAAGTTTTCCGAAAACGTTTCTCCTACCGAGAAAAATTGGAAAAAGCACTCCCGACTACTTGCCCGCGCGTGAAATATTCCTGTAAATAAATAATTGACTGATGCTTTTTGATGCTCTAGCGAAAAAGTCTCTACTACCTCGATCAAGACTGAAAATCGCGATCGAGTATACGATCTACTTCGCAATTTGACGATTTTAACTTTGGCCATCGCACGTGGATTGGACGCGGAGTCCGGCGCGACGTGTCGTTCGTTGCTTTACAACTTGCACCTGCCGCTTCCGTTCCGAGAATACGCCGAATTCCGGACGACATATGGCACGAGTCGATCGGGGGATGAGGAATAAAACGAAACCGTACACGATTTCATTCCTCGATGTGTTACGTTCCTGCCTTGAAGAGGAATCTCCTAAGAGGAATCTACGCGGCAAACGTAAAAAAAACTCAATTCCGTTTTATTGTCTTTCATGTATCGAGATCATTCGCGTTTGATCAAGGAATTGAGCGTCTTCTTCTTATCTATCTCCTTTCGATCAATGTGTGATATGGTAAAAAGCAGTGAATAACGATCCAAGGAATGAATTTTTTATACAAAAAAAACTTTTAACTATAAACGCTGCCGTAACATTCACTCAATAAGTCCGTTTAATTTATATTAAATGAGTGGTACTTTAGTAACGCTATCTTCTATTCTATAAACTTAAAAGGAATGTTCGTTCTATTGCATGACTCGACAAAAGATGTTTAGAGTGTACGTCTTCTTCGATGTACAAAGGGCAGAGAAAACACGCTTAGCGCGAGTTCGAGTGACTTCGAGAGCGTCTCGAAATTGACGATCAAATTCCCGAGGTGCTCTAAGGAGATTCCTTCGAGGCGAGGAATGTCCGAACGCGGTTTCGTAGATGCCAATTAGTGTTCCGGAGACGTCGTCCCGTCTCTCGATGACGATAAGAACAACGACGACGTCATGCCGATTAGTGAGCGTTGTCCAGTGTCGCCTCTGGATGACAGTAGACTGAATACCTTGCTGGCAGAACGAGCGCTTCTAATTCGGCGGTGAGGTGTCGTCGAATCATGTGTTTCGCCGGTGGTATGCCCAAGGCGGTGGCCATGGTGTCGCCAGTGAACGACGGCTCCAATACAACCAGAGCACCGTGCACACCCGAGTCTATGGGAAAGAGATTTTATTCTCGTTAAAGATAAAAATGATATCGATAGTTCATGTGTATGTTATCGGGCTTAAAGGTGAAAGGTCGATTTTTCAGCCTGCATATTTTGTGCATTCTTATTTTTAGAAGAGAGATGTGTTATACGCTGCAGATAAATACTGCAATAAAATTTGTTAAAAAAATGTAAGCAAAAGAAATTTATATATGTATAAAATATTTTCATGTTCTTTTAGCAAATTAATATTAAATTTCGCAAACTGTAATCAATTATAATTGTCATATGTAATATATGGCATATATGTATGATTTAAAAAATACATAATTGATCTCGCCGAAATACAATTCACCTTTCAAGTTTTCTGCGTATTCCGTGAGATCGATATTCCTCGCCCACCGAATAAACCTTTGATTCGTCCAAACCAAAGGATCCGTGTCAACCTGCTCACATTGATGTCTTCTGACAGCGAGAGCCTACCAAAAGCGTGACATTATCTCTTTGATGGTATTATTCAACCGCAATTACATCGTTTGATTAATCCTCATAAAGAACTGATTATAAGCAGCCTTTATCTTCACATGTTCCTGATGAACTTATCGTCAGTAAGATCTTGTAATATCATTTTGGTCGATAGTGCAAATTCACTCACCTGTCGATCATAGTTTAGCATTCGCAGCAGGTGAATACCATGAACGATGCTGGCCTGATGAAACTTTCTCGTGACTCCGAGCAGTTTCTCAAGCTCCTTTTTGCTCAGATGGTCCAGCATACGCGCATCCACCATATTGGTGGCAAAACTCTCCGAGTACTGGGCCAGGCCGAGATCCGGCAGCCACTCAGAGCTCACCCAGGTGTGACCGAGCTGAGCGATACAGGGATATCGAACGTGACTTGGATGCCGATGTTCCTCGATAGCCAGGCGCAGTTTCTTTCGATGAAGCGGATGAGTTACGCCTAAACCGGCCTCAAGTTCGGCGTCACTTAGTTCCAGTAGAACCTGAAAATAGTACCACAATAATGAAAACTTAACTGATCGAGACAGATATTTTAATCAGAAACAGTTCTGTGAATTGTTTCTAAGATACAAAAATATAAAAGTCTTTTGCGTGAAGGATAAACCTTTGACATGATTAAGATCAGCCATAGCCTTCGGGCTTATATCAACAGGTTAAACTGGTTTAAAGTTTGCTAATGGAAACAGGTGATAAATCCTTTACCTTGCCCGATTTGACGTTCTCGGCACATCGTGGACCGTATTGCGGCATCCCGAGAGCCACCTCTAACCAGGCTAAAACGGTCGGGGCTCGCCATCGCTCCATGGGCACGGAAGCTGCTTCTCGAAGCAAACGAAGTTTCTCGGCGTAACCCTCCTCGGTGAGCGGCGACCACGATCGATATGGATCAAAGCTGTCTGAGCCCTCGTTGCCGCCGCTACCACCGCTAGAACTGTTTGCCGTCTTCCGATGTCGCGAACGGGCGAATACTCTGCCAGAAGGGAGACATCGATTCATTCACATTAATGCAATGATATTCAATCGCGGAACAACACATTTTTATTTTATTTTACTTGTGCGTACTGTGTTATAATAATATAGTTAAAAATGATATCATATATAATAAATTGATTTTTCCTTTTCCTTATTTTTATGTAAGACTCACAATTTTTTAATCATTATAATGTATTAACATATTGATTGTATCCTGTTGAAAATATCAAATTGAATCAATGCGAAGAGGTATAAGAGGTATATTTAAGAAATATAGATAATAAATAAATATTTTTGCATAAATTCTAATTAATTCCACAAATATAAAATAATTAGACATGTGAAATTAAATTCTTCAGTTGAGAGTAAATTTAAATTTCCGTGTCTCATGTTGCCAGTTCGATGGGATAATGGTGGATTACGGGATCTCTGTGCAATATTTTACAGCTAAACAGCCGATGGCATCATCCATCATTTAGAATAAAATCACATTGCGGACGTAAGTCTCACCGGCTGTATAATATCCAAGTGAATATAATGGAAAAATCGATATTCTCTTGTATCCGGAAAAAAGATCGTCTTACTTAAGAAGACTGTTATTTTACATGACAGTCTCTTTCACAAGTTTATTTCCACATAGCGCGGAAGTCCGCATCTATTTCTACTCAGCAACCGTTGTCGCAAAGTTGCAATTTCCCTTCTATCGTGTTACGAACTCATTTTGCTCGTACATTGTTAAGGAGTAAGACTCGCGTAGTAGTCACACACTTCGCCCAAGTAATACTGAGAGTCATCAGAGTACAAAAATGTCGACAGTGCACCGACGTACTTACGTGCAAGCGCACGAGATTGTAAAATCAATGTGAACAAGTCGCGCACTTTGTAAAACCATTCACCGTCGTGCGAATGAATTGTTCGCCACACGAGCCGTATGGCTGCACTTCCATGGAGTGGCTCTCGTCATCTCGACTTTCCAGTGCTTTTTATTATGCCAAAGCTATCATTCGTGGCCGCCCGCTTTGTATTAAACATCACGTATAAATTATTCGTCGCCACAAAACAATTCATATTTACGAGTAAAATGTAACGTTGTCCCGGCGGTAATTGCCGCTAAATGTTTGCGCGATGGGCTAAATAATCGATACTTCACTCAATTAATGCGTAATTGGTATTACCGCGGGCAACGTGTGGGGGAGAGCAAAAATAATTACATAAGAAATAATTGTCTCTTCGAAACTGAATTTGCGTCGTTTGCATGGCGAGCAATTTGCGGTTCGTGTTGCGCAATAAAATGTTGAGCGTTTTCGTAACGGGAACGAGAGCTCCTTATACCTAGGTATTACCTTGAAATGGATCCCCATGTGCCGCCGCGAGTGGCGGACGAGCGCGAATGCGCGGCAGGTGCGACGACAGGTGGTGGCTGCTTGTTCCTCCTCGGCTCGGATTCCAGCGGGCTGGATAGCTGCTCGACCGATCGCGATAGCGAGGAATTGTCCATGGACCTTGAAAATGCGTTCAGCGGCGACAGCGTCGGGCTGCAGTCCTTCGGTGTGGTTGCGGCTGTAAACAGAAGATACGCGTGTCGGTGTACCATCGATTTCCATAACGGAGCGCTCGGGGCACTCTCGAGCACTTGGAACGAGAATAGGAAGACCGAGAGAAATAGTTTGTAGAAATGTAATGAGATATGCGCAGAGGATGTAAGCCCTATTTGTTAAATGGAAAACCGTCGATGAACAATTACGCAACGATTACATGTCGCGCGAATATTATACTTGGGCATGAAAATATTTTTGTCGTGTTAAAATAAACGTATGTAACAAAGAAAGAACGTGAACGATAATTTGTTAGTAATTGGACACAGCAGGATGCGAATGAAGTCAAATTCGGGTCAACGACAAACTATTAATTATTCATTCACGTTTCTTTGGATGTCGCTATTTTTTTTTACACTGCACTGACTGCACATGAAAATCGCGTTTCACGTGGCTTTTTCATCAAGCGTTATCCAGTCCCGTGACACAGCGAATGGTAATCGATGCAAGTCACATAAAGAACACACAGCGCGTCGTGCAGCGATCCTGCTCGCGTGCAAAAACTCCTTCTCGTGGGCATAGCTCGTTCTTGTCATCTCTCTGTCAGGTTTACGGTATGTGCATGCGCATGCATTCAGGCCATGTAGCAGGCAGGACTTGTATCGAGGACATCCTTGGGGACCCTCGGCATCGGTTAGGCTTTCACACGAGAAAAACGATTTATTCGGTGAGCGCCCTCGATCCCTTTCGGGACCACCATATTAAGACGCACGTTCACACATATGATACACATACGATACACACATACACACATACACCCACACGCTCGCGCGCATACCAAGAGATAAATGACTACAGGGTGGCCAGAATACGATAGCGATACCGTGCGGTTCGATTTTTCCAACCATCGTGATTCTAGAGAGCTTTAGAGATCTGCAAGATAGAAACATCGACGGATTCTTGGCTATTTTACGAATATTTTAATGTGACTTAATGATCTGAGAGCGTCAAAGAACTATTATAATTGTTAATCCTGCGTATTTTCGACGTATATTCGCGATCGGCCACCGCACCGGTCCAGCCACCCTTCGCTGACGAAAGAAAACGGGTATTGGTCAGAGGAGAAGAGAAAGACGCATACACTGAGAAGCAGCAGAGGCGTTTCGGATTATGACGGAACAGGGAGGCGGGATGTAGAGCGCTGAGTGAGACATGGGAAGTGACGACGATCAGTGATTTATGCTCTTGGACACTTACATTGGTATATGTGGGGTGGTGCTACGGAGGATACCACGGAGATGCTGTCCATGTCGAGACCGCTGCCCTCGACCGTAATTGTTGGCGTGCCTGCGCGGAAATATATATAAAGGACATCAATTTTACAGTAAAGGGAGGGAAGTGCGGGTAAGGGTATCGGTGGCAACCCGGCACGGGCCTCGCGTCACATTGTGCCTGGGGCTGTCAAGAACGAGCTTCCCTCGAGGTCGCCGCTATTGCCGAGCTTGTGTTCTTTATGCCGTGGCATCCTTTCACGACGGAGATAATGCCCGTCGTTCGCCACCGAAAGTGGAACGCGGAAAGACGTTGCGATGTTGGAAAGTGCAAAGTAACTTGACTTTTTACACGAGATAATGGACGCGGCCATTAGCGAAAATTTCTATCTGGCTAATAGGAAAAGTTTAAACTGATAACTTTACACTCGGAATAATGTTAACTTTTAATATCTCATTAATAGCTGCGTGACAAATTCGAAAGGATTTATTGTTGGTTTACGTAAGATTATTGTGAGGCTTATTATTTGGTTTCTTCATTAACTATACCGTGCCTGACTTAATTAATAATATTCATAAATCATATCTATAAATCAGTTAACAATAATAAAATATGCAAGTATATTATATGTGATTATATCATCAAAGTCCTCTTGTTATTCCAAAGCAGTTTCTCTCGTAAAGAAAGCGTTAAAAGGATAGATAGTGAGGCGGGTAATATTCCGGGTAAATGTTTAACTTGATAATGTAACTTGGCAAGAGTTCAGATAATCCAGGGACTTGAGTGTTTCCTGCGCATCCCAAAGTGCATCTTTCGCGCTGAAAATCATGCACGCGCATCAAGCCCCAAACTCTCTCCGGTGACCGCGAGCGTTTGCCGGAAACCCAATCGATCAAACCGTTTTGATGCAACGGCACGGCGATTGGCTGAATAATACATGAAGGAAGCGTGTGCTCGATTAGACCGCCACCACCTACGTTCGATTAACATTCGCGACTGACGGATGCCGTCGGACTATTTTTCAAACTGGTACTTAGCCGGATGTACACTGGCAATCCCTTCTGACTGGACGATTAATCTTGGGGCTCGTTGCAACTAAACGCCGGAGTCATTATCTTCTAAGCGGAGACGTCACTCCGATTGTGATTAATAGTAATTCTAGATAAGACGATCTCTTCAAAAATGTTCTTTCGTTGTCATACCGTTAACGACGAATTCTGCTTTAGAATCAGTGTTACCGTTGTGTAAATTCAGGCAATAAATGTTTTAATTCATAGATATTACAAGATGCAGACAAAACCCGAGTACTTATGATTAAAAATAGAATAAGATAAGATTATGAAAATTGACACTGACTGATTATGTTGACGTGACATTAATTTTCATCTAAATTCAACAATCAAATCCAAACTACACAATTTGATATACTTAAGAGGCTTTATTTATAGAAACGTGTGAAGAGACACTCGTGAAAAGATTAGCTGAGGCGACTTCATATCGCTGTAAAAGAGAAGGGATTTTGCGCGAGACAAAATCCTCTTTACGAGATACATTTTTTTCTTTTTATTATACTTTTTTTCCTCCTGTAAAATTCTTTCTTCTCTTTTTTCCCCCGTTTTATACTTCTCAGTATAGTTGTGCGGATGTAATGCGCAAGGCAATAAAAAAAAAACGCTAATTGCTATCGAAGTGATTCTCACCGTCTGTCGTGGAGTCCGAGAGATTTCCGCCGACGCTGGTCGCCCCGCCGCTCTCGCGATCGCTGGACCCGCGGACGCCGCTGTCCGCGCTGCAGCTGCCGCGATCGCCGGCCTGGCCGCCGGAGGATCCTCCTGCACCCGGGCCGCCACCTACGTTACCCACAGACATGCCGAGCTCGGTGGTGCCCAAGGGCGGCTGGGAGTTCACGTGGGGGATGATGCCGCCGCCACCGCCGCTGCTGCTGCCGGCTCCGGGCGTCGCGGCACCGTTCACGCTGCCCCGTGGAAACGACACCAGGGACTCCTGATCGCTCAGACAGATCCCGCCGCCACCGCCGCGTTCTGACAGTTGACGTTGCAGCTGGTAACAATCAAGAGGTATACCTTGAGATGCGGGCCATTATAACGGTCTGCGTCAACAAAAAATCCGGAAATATCGCTGGGCAAGGAAAAAAAATTTATATTTTGGTTAGATATCGGAGTACTAAGTAGTTATTTGAATTTATATAAATCTTTTAAGAGAGTTACAAGAAATTAATTTTTCTCTTTATAATTTTTAAATTTTAATCATATGTGCGAGATTATCGATTCTGGCGAGTTTTCTGGAATCCCCTGAGACGAACTCTATATCGATTTAAACCCGTTAATTTAGATGCAAAATAACGCGCGTTCGATAAGCGGGGCTCACCTCTTTTATGGTCGCGTGTGCGTGCGAGAGGGCGGCTTCTTTGTCGGCCAAACTAGCCGCGAGGCTCAGACTTCGATCGGCCTCATCCCTCGCCGCCCTTAAAAGACTCCAGCGTTCCCTCTCCCTCTCCCGTTCGCGTTCATCCGAAGGCATGCCGGCTCCTTGCTGCTGAAGACGTCCCAGGGTCGCCTCGTTCTCCCGCATCCGCTGCAATCAACGGTCAAAAGGACCATGTCCGGGCAGTAACTCCGCGCCCAAAACCTTCACCATCTACCGTAGCATGCACGTGATTCGAAAATTGTACGGAGCACAGCGACCAAACGGCAAATTTATCTTCTCTTTTTATTCAGACTTTACTTTTCACGAAAAATGGAAGAGAAATTAGAATGAATAGAGATAAATACAGTTATAACGTGGATTAAAATGATGATATATTGCAAAAATTATATATTGCGTATATTTTATTTATTTAATTAAATTGCTATGAACACCATCGCGTTTGAGAAAGCGTAATGTGTGGATGACACAATAGACTTGCAGTTAAGATGACGAAACATGATTTTGATACGCACCGCTCGTATAAACTCTTTCTTCTGTTTGACCGTTACAAACAAGAAATAAACACGCCGGAAACAGATTTATTCTCGTTGTCGAGAAATAATGTTTCAATATTATAACATCGTCAATCAACCCTGTAAAATCAACATTGCAAAATCCGTTTGCGGAATACGGAATGAGTTAATAATTAATTGGAAGCCCGCCGGATTCCGCGGAGGCACGAAGTAATAATCGATATTCGACGAAATAACTTTAGCCGCACCGGTGAGCGATGATTTCGTCGAAACAGTCGACGAACTAATAATGGCCGTGAGAGCAAATAGCCGCTGGGAATCAAATCGAATTCTAGAACAAATACCCAGTTGATATTCACGAAAATGTCAATCGATGCTGGCGAGACTGTTTCGCGCAGCGCGAGTTATCTCGAGAGCGTCGTCCGTATTGGAAAACAGACGAGAAGACCCTCGAGATGCGATTCGGATCTTCAAAATGCGTGACACGGACTTTCATGATTGACATTCTCCATCGATAATTTCATGTCGCGTTACAGAGATAATTAATATTCAGCAAATGCAACATATCGTACAATTAAATAAAATAATTCAGAGTATCAAATAAGCGTAAAACAAATAACAATTTTCAATGATAAAATCAATACTTGTTATAAAATTATTCTTAATATAACGACAGAGTTATATTAATTTTCTATTGCTGACGTTATACTGAAATAAAACTAATAATTCTTGTTGTGCCAAATTCGAAACTCTCAATTTTTCTGCAAGACTTTTGAGTATGACATATTTCATGTTAAATTAAAGTTCAGTAAATAACGCTCAAGCTTAGTTCCGACAAGACATATCCGCGACTAGGCGAAAGGATATATAACTTGATCTCTTGCCCGCGAAGAGCGCGATTATATTTTAACGCGCGAATAGACATGACGTTCACCATCGACTATTAGCCGTCGACGATATCGACTACGGCAAAGTTAATCCACTTATCTCTACCTCGAGCGCAACTCTGTCGTACGTATAACAGGTGTTGCAGCAGGGTATATGGGCTAAACTTTGCGGCAATACGGTTATTACGAGCGTTACGGATCATCCGAGCGTCGGTTGTTAGCACGTAGCGTCGTAGTTATATCTTCAAAAACTATTGCCTTGGAGTAGACACAACAATCCTCGTTATACAATTGCGACGCTGAAGGTACGACTCATCACACGTGAGAAGCACTGAAAATTCGATTTTAATGTTTTACTCTCATGTTGATAAAAAAAAAATATTGGTTAAATAGAGATTATTACGAAAGCTAAATTACACGCTAATTAATAATTTTAGGAGGTAATAGCGAGCACTTCATAAGGTTTATAAGAATTAAGAGGAATTTGAGGGAATTATTTTTTTATTACTGCCTTATGTGCGTTCATTATGTTCCTTTATTATAATATAAGCGGGATCGCTACGTTCGTAAACATTTATAAAGTATTCGAGTATATTAAATTCCTCGGAAGCGAACTACCGTATGTAAATGTGCGGATAATGCCTACAATTTCCCGTGGCAGCGCGATGCAAAAGAAAAACCTAAGCAGTTTGGAAGCTTCGGCAAAGGGGAAAGGAAGTAGGGGTAATTCTATCAGCGTTTCATAAGCGCATTGCCGGGCCATGACGTCGGATGATAAACAGGAAGGGCCAGGAAACACGTCAAGGCTCGCAAAATCGAACAATGGCAGGCGAGCTGAAAGAGATAACGCGCCGCGAAAACGTAGATGCATGTGCGCACACATATCTATCGGCCGGAGCTTCTTTTAAATTGAATGATAGATATCGAGACACCGCAGAATTTGGCGAAAATAAAGGCAAATCATTTGTTTAAAAATAAAAATTAATCTTACTCCTCTTCGTCATGGAAAAATTTGAGATAGAAGTTTAATGAAAGTTAATCTTGACAGAGCTAAATTAGAAGAATTTATCACGAGTTATTCTAGAAGTCACTGTGAACTATCGGTTGTAGATATTATATGTTAGCTTAAAGTGTTTTTCTCCTGCATATTCACGTGTACAGTCGCAGTATCGTCAAGGAAGAGAAAATTGAAGGCAACGCAAGGTAGAAGAAAATTATAAGACCATGCACCAGGCGTAGTAATACGTCCGCACTTGCCGAGAGATGAAGTGGATTATGCAGAAGGAGAAAGAGAACGCGCGAGTGTAGAAAGAAGGAAGAGAGAGATAAAAGCGAAGAGAAATTGATGGCGCGGTTTATGGACGGAAAACCGCCGTAAAACGCGTGTATTCTTTCGGGGATGATAAAAGCAACGCGAAGGAGTCGGCGACGATGCATGTACCGCTGCTGTCGGTGACACTTAGCCTGATATTTTCATCAGGAACTTTCTTCGGAGTAATGAAGTCATTTCTCAGGTAAATGAATAAATTTCAACTTTCGCGAGATCAAGTGCAACGAATGGAAGATCGTTACTTGGTCTACTGGGTAAAATAAACGCTGTAAATGGCGGTTACACTTCTTGGAAATTCGTGCAACTAATAAAAACAATACAGATAATTAATATAAAAACCATAACGTTATGAAAAGCATTTTTTAATTTTTATCTATGATATGTGTTCTAGATACGTGGTAAGTTTTTAGTACATGTATAAATATGTAAAATACGCGTTAACATAATAAGATTTGGTTAAATATTTTATGTAAATTTTCATGTAGCAATTAGATTCATTCTGCTTGCGCATTAATTTTCTTTGTAATACGTCGTGTTCTCTTCCGCTTAACGCAACACTGTTAGGTTTCCATTTCGGTGCGTTGTAAAATTCTATCTTTTTCATATTCACGCAAAAGAACACTAAGCGTACATACAAAAGCGTGGAATCTTATTAATTAATCGCAAATTCTTTTGTCCGCGATACCGTGCACTGCGTAATAACATTTTTATTAAAATACCAACATCACCACGGCTAACATTACGACGATGCTTTTGATCTTCACCCAGCAATTTCGTCCAGAAGAACAATACTATTAATTATTCTTAGTGCTCTTTACTCGCGAATTACGTTATGTCGCCAACGACAATCAAAAAAGCATTTTCGCGGCGTTGCTGCTGTCATAAATTTACAATTGCATTAATCAGTAATCACTCGTTTCCTGCACTGCTTAATCTACTATTTAGCGATTTTTCCGACATCTATAAATTCTCATTATATATTTTTAAGGAAATATTTATTTTTACTAATTTCATTTCCAGGAATCATTTTTATTTTCTTAAATTATTATTTCTCGCCGAATTGTAAATTGCAGATGTTACTTATTTTATCTCTCAACTTTGTATTCTAATTTTCGTTTAATTTTCGCAATTAATTTTACCAGAGACGAAGCGGGATTTGGCCGCGATGTTCCTGAATAATCCCGCGTCTGTGTACGCACCGTTTCACGTAGAGGCCTTTCGCGACACGGAAATACCGCTCTCCGGCCTTTCGAGAATCGAGGCTGAGCCGAGTCTTTGTTCCGGAGTTGATAACAATCGGTAGCGACAAAAGCTCGCCACATTCTCTCTCTTTGTCTCGGCACATCGTTATACACATTGGCTTAAGACCAAACGGCCCCGTTATACCGGAGGGCAATCTTGATGCGCGATGCGCTCTCGAAGTCGGTCCTTAAGCCTCCTCCAGCGATAATGACTTCACTCACGATTTTCAGTGTCTTATCCCGGGAGAAACTAGCTCGAGGCTGTAGATCAATTCGATATGTGATACGAGTATCGGCGTCAAATTTCATAAAATATATCTCTATCATAATAGGATACTATAAGTTGCCAATAACAATTGGGCTTTTAAAAAAAATTTGTCGGAGTTGAAAGATCACGTACCCAATGCAATCTGATGCACCAGCGACCGGGTATATCGTTCACGGAAGTCGTTGTTCATTTAACGGAATTGAAATAACTGCGGCTCGGTCATAATGGCCTCGGCAAAATGAGAAATTCCGGCAAGTTTAATGAAAGCATTTAACAGGCAAAATTGCTGCCGTGTACCGGTACGGTGTCACTTGCATCCGCGGGCTCAACACTGCACTCCGAGAAACACGGTTGGGCGAGCATCAGAAGTGTCTTTAGATCGCGGATAACTTTTCGTCACGATACACGATAAATCACTTCAACTTTTCTCATAATATTTTTTAAATGTTTTATACGTTTGGCACCGCGGGCGTCTCCGAACAACATTTCCCACGCACTGTTGCGGGTTAATGAAGTTTCAAGAGCGAGCCAATTACTGATTAACTGATGCCCGCAGCGGTACCGATTGCGTATATAAAAGTTTTTTAACTACGTTCGTACAATGGTGGCTCTGGGAATAGCCGTTGCGCGAACAGCGTCTCTCCCGGGCTTTTTTTTCCTCTCGATATTTCCTCGTCGCTTCATAAAGACGCATTAGAGGCGAAATTAAAACCCGCCGTGGAGCGCGGTTTCGTTAGTCGCTCGTTTCGCGTAGTTCTCAATTTGCATTAGCCGACCGCTTTAGTGAACAGAAAATTTTATTATGCTTTAATAGTTAAACCTCGCTGTCGGAGCCACAAGTCACATCACATTTTATCGCACATGCAGTTACACTAAAGAGATGGGCGAGATCAAGTACCTCTTTATTTCTTTCGCGGAGATTCCAAATCTTAGCAGCTGAGAGTTCAAAGTTAGAAACTATTGACAGTATCGTTAATGGATATTGCCATACCCTAAGAATAAAGTTGAATAAACGCGTCGACACAAAATAATTTCGTAAGATAGATATTTATAAATTCCAACGACACCCTTTCTTTGCGGAATCGTTTATGCTTTTTTATGTCAGCAGCAATTAATACATCGTCCTGGAAGAAAAGTAGCTGCTCCCTTTCGATCGCTATTTCAATCACTGCCGTGATAAAACCTATAGGAGTGGATCGTTCTAAAGTAACTGACTCAGCAATTTAACTAAATATCTCTTATTTCGTTCATCGCCTGCACCACATGCTGTTTGACCGACCACTTCGTAATGGATTCACTGTTAGCAAATATACGGATTTCTTTCCCTCGCATTTCTTTCTTTACGCCGGTAATAAAAAAACGAGGCAAAGAGGGAATTACAGCGGCGTGGTGGCAATTTCGAAAGTTGAACGTTCATAAATATCGAGTGCGGCGGAACGCTTCTCCCGGTTACAGCCATCACCTTTCTTAATTCATCGTCGTGGCTCCTATCGAAAATCGATCGTTCTATATGAGACATGCAAACTACGATCGCGGCGACATTAGAGCTATTTCCCTGTGACTGTTTGTTGCTTCTGTTCGTGGAATGTGTCGCGATTAAATTTCCCGAATGTGACTTCTGTACGTGTTACGTAATGGTGTTTCGCGAACGCGAGTGTGACATGTGAACAAAGCTCAAGCAAAAGCTTTAATTTCATCGTTATGAATTGCGGAAATATTATTTTCATACGGCGCCGATTATTATGAACGATAAAAAACCCATCTTAGGATATTCTTGTCAGAGCTCGAAGGAATTGCGGAATCTTTCCAATATCTTCAGTTCTAATAATTCCATCTTCTCGTATAAATCTTGTCATAACTGTCGCACACACAAAAGATATTTTACGTTCCTTAAGAATAGATGTCCCTTTATCAATAGAATTTTTCGAACTAATATATCTCCACGGAATCCGAAGAGATATCATTAATAAAAATTGGCATTTAGATTTTCTATCGGAACGAGACGATTGCTTGATCATCTTTCTCTCGATAAGATGCCGTTTGTTCGCCGTACTTTATCATTTTACAACACTTTTCAAAGCCGCGGATAAGAACTTTATTTTAAAAAAGGAATAAAATGCACGCAAAAAGAATATCGCGAAAGTTTTATCATCCACTGGCTCACCTGTTCGTAATTTCGGATAAAATCGCGGAGTTCACGCTCTTTGTCTTCGAGGGTGCCGTAAAGCGCCTTCATCTGATTGAGAAGATCGAACTTCTCCGCTTTAAGCCGCTTCCGGTCGGCCTTCAACGCCTGGAGTGCCTCCTTCGCGTGCTGCAATTCCATTTCCAGGGCGACAAAGCGCGCTTCTTCTTCCATCGCGGCGTCCTCGGCGCCGACCTCGCCGCGCGCCGCGCCGCTCAGCAACAACCTCCTCAACCTCGCGACCTCGGCCACCAGCCGTTCGTTCTCCAGTCGCAATCTTCTAGCGCTGGCCAGCTCCGCGTGTCCGCCGCCACCGCCGTGGATGTTGGACAGTCTGGACGCTACCACTGGATCGCCGATTCCTGCACCAAAAAAAAATCACTTAAAAATAGAGTGAGTTATTATTTATTTTATAATTAACATAAATTTAGTTTAAATTAAAATAAATTCAAATAAATATAAATTTAAATAAATATGACATGTATCTCATATCTTCGCGATTAAGCGTATCAAAATGATTTTGTATTATCTTCTAACATGAGTTATTTACGCGACTCGGCAATGTTGTTATTAACTTATGAAGTCACGGCTTATGAAGTCACGGATATTATCACGTTTATATTTTTTATAATAGACGATATATATATTCGAATAATATAGTACTTTAAAATCTATCGCATTCTCAGCACAATGCACAATTCGCTATCGAGAATATTGAAACGTGTTTCTACTCAGCAGCTCACATTGGGAAGGAAAGAAAAAGAATCGATCGGTCGTCCATAATTAAATACTGAGTTTATTAACGCACCGAGTGAATTAGCCGGGGATGATGGTCTGCTGCCCGGTGCCGGTCCAGGGGGTTCATTGTCCTCATCGCCTCGCGCATCGCCGTCCACTAGATCTTTATCGGCATCTTTCTGGTCATGGTCGTTCATCTCCTTGCTAGATCGCAGAGAGTCACGGTTAGTCGATATCCGAAGCCGCTCCACGCTGGAACGGTCGCTGCCACCGCGATGCAGGAAGCTGCTCCGGTTCGTCGGTCCCCGATCCGGGCTGGCGCTGCCCGATCGAGAATCCACACTGCCCCCGGATCCACCCAGCCGCGTCTTCTCCAGAGCGGGGGCGAACGGGCGGCGAGCCTTCTCGCTCGGGCTTCGGCAGGGCGAGCCATTTCTTCGTTCTAATAACGAAAAATATATGATCAGAACATTTCTTCAAGTTTCTTTTGAATGAGTGAGTAAGTGAGAGAGAACATTTTTTTCATGTCAAGAAAAGCTCAAATATGTATATAAATAAATATTTATAATTAAATTAACGTTAAAGTAAACATTCGATGTTTTTCATGATAGAGAGGAGTTTCTACTTTTTAAATATATTTACAATTTCTTTTAATTAGAATAAGTGTAGCTGCAGGGAATTTGATCCAGTTAGAATTCATCCAATCAGAATTCATCTTCATCCATTGGAATACATTATTTGAATAATGCTGTATCATAATCATTTGAATCAGCGTCGCTATATTCGGTTCGACCTGTTTTATTCAATTAGCATGGATTTATAGTAGCATAGACACCCCATTTGTTATCAGCACATAATTTAAACCTAGTTAATTAAGTTTAGCGAATTTAACACGATGTAATTTAATTAAATCTATTTAAAAGCCGCATCGTGTACGCTCTTAAATGATGTAGCACGATTCTCGACAGATACGCTCGCACGTACAAAACTCAAACCGGGAACGATCGTCGAGGACTCGAATGCAGTGACCTAGGACGAGGAGAGGAGTAGCAGCAAACGGAGAACGACTTATATTGGCGCACGGAGAAATCGCTGGAATGAAGCCAGCCTTTATTGGAATGTGCATCCGACTCGACGGATGCAGTGTACTCGATAAGATGGATCCGGTCGGCGATCTCGACGATGAATACCTCTACGCGATGCGCATGATCGATCGATCTGATACGATGGGTGTCCCGAATGCATTCGTCCCGAATTTGCATGCACACATGGGACCACTCACCCTTAAGCGGGTCTGTTGACATCTCTCCTCGACAAGAAGGGGGAGGAGATAGGTAGATGGGTAGATAGGTAGAGAGATACATACGTAGATAGATAGAGCTATCAGAGCGGACGAGAGGATAATATATTCTGATCTTTTGTTAATAGGACTTTCATAAACCTGTTAACACGTTCTTTGCATCACAATATATATTTAGCGCCACATATCTTAAATATTTGAAATTTACTGTTGATAGAAAATGTATATATTTTTAAAAATATTACCTCTTACTTACTAATTGATATCCGTACAACGTTATTCGATGCAGGAATGCGATGAGCGCGTTAAAAATGATAAAAATCGCGAATAAATAGAACCTACTATATAAAATGATACAGACTCTTGTACTCTGAGGAATAACGACTGCAACATTCGTAGTAAAGAACTCAGCTGTTATGAGTTGCAATAAGTAGTTTAAAGGCGGCAATCCTGGCTTCAAGCCGCGGAGAGAACTATGAATCATGGCCGGCCATAAAAGTAACAGCACATAACTGTGAAATATACAGAATAACTCACCGCAAGGCACACAGGCAAGTTAAGATAAACGTGGAAATGCGAAAAACATTCGCGTCGCGCCGTCTTAAAATTTCATTCTCGCGAACTTCTTAAAAAGTCTTATCCGCCGAAGCGCTCGCGCGAAGTCGATAACTTTCTGCCAAGCTTAAGCGCATTTCCGTTGCCGAGTTGTCTTTATGAAAATACTTTCGCAAAATAAACTTTCAACATTCAACCTGTGAAGTTCCTCCAAGATCTTGTTCCTTCTTTCGACGAGAAGAATTTGTACAAGAACATCTTTTTATTTAAAACAAACAACTTCTTACACTACTAATCGCATTTCAAGCTGATGGTTGCTTGTTTTCGGTAAAGTATTCAAACATTCCAATTTCTAAAGAAGATATATATATATATATATATATATATATATAAATCAAGATTAATAATAAAGAAAATAACTAAATATTAAAGAGGCAAGAATTTGTTTCGTATATTTTTAATGAAGAAAGTAACTAAATATCAAAAAGGTAAGAATTTGTTTTGTCACAAACCTATGGGACTGGATCGCCGATCGATGGGGCTGGTTCTATCCTTCCTGTCCACCGGGCTGGTCCGCTTGTCGATAGGACTGGCGGATTTATCACTGGCCGAGCTCCTCTTCTCGATCGGGCTACTGCCGGCGCTAAGCCGCTTGCCGTCTTCCTGTTGTGCCTGTTGCTGAGCCTCGGCTTCCTGGCCAGGATTCGCGTTGCCGGAAACACCGGTTGCTGTGCCGCCATTGTTGTTGCTGTTAGCGCCGCCATTGCTGGCATTGTTATTATTCAGTACAATCGGCAAGGCGCCACGAACATCGCGCAATTCGCCCCGAAGAGTGGCGCACTCGCCCCTAGCGCGTTCCAGCTCGCCGTCCAGCCGGGCGCCGGTCGCTGCGTTCTCCTCCACCATCACGCGGAATTTTGCCTGTGAACAAATCACATCAGAAATGATTTTGATATAACAAAAACTAGAAGAAATACGGTAAAGGGTGATCGCGCAAAATTCAATAATTAAAATTGTGAATTTGTAGTTTACTTGCTCGATATCTTACCTGTATTTCTAGCATCTAAATATGCTTCGAATCAGATTTTATATATTTATATTATAATTATAAATACTGGAGAATACGAAGATTTCTTTAGCTGTACGATTGTTCAAATTTGTCCATTTTCGTGAAACTGTTGATTAGGCTAATACACGTTAAAGTGAAACAAACAAATAGCGACGAGATAAAAGTTTTAAGCCTGCTTTACGATGGTTGGCTCGCACGAATCTCATTGCGCGTTTGTCATTATGTAGAAGGGGTGCCGAAAGTTCTTTACACGCTACAGTGATATTGATGTCGCTTTTCCGCTAGTCAGAAGTTTCGCGAGCGCGACTTTGCGCGACGTCGCCTTCGAAGTCGCGGCACGAATCACTGAAATTGCGAAACAGAGAAACGGCCGGGACACGTAGAGTCGTATTTCTTTCGCAGCATCGCATTAGAAGTAACCTCAGGGATAAGTAAAATGCTATTTCTCCAGACTACGAAATCAGGAAGATAGACGAAGGCAAGTAGAGAGACACGTTTATAAAATCTCAGTGCTACATTTTTGCAGATTTACTTGCGACATTTCAATTGAGGCGTTATTATCTATCAAGAAGTTGGTTTAAGCGGATTTTTAGTGTTACATTTTTGTACCTCTTAATGTTTTATTAATAAACTAAAATGGTGTTCTCTAACGGCGATCAATAAGACTCCACGGATATCCGTGTAATTCCCAAGAACGCTAATTCACACAAACGACTGCGGAATCCTCCGTGCGGAATAATAGATGACTCTCCCGTGTACGGACTGACACGTGGTTCCGTACGTTGGGATAGGTCGATGATATAATATGGCTCTCGCGCGATTACGAATGTCGATGATGCACCCAGCGAAAGCGGCCGTAATAACCGAACCCGGGTCAAGCGTGACTCTTAACCCTCGATCTCGAACGGAAGAGGAGTCGATAGCGTTCGCCGCGAGTTGTTAACAACTTGACTCCATCGTCAAGTTCGACAGGAAACTCAATGTAACTTTAGACGTACCGTATTAACTACAAGATTCGAGTAATTTGAAGTTGAACTCACTTATAAAATGTTATTACTATCTATGTTAATTAAAATTTGATATAAATAATATAAATAATATGTGTCGATCAGCAGATATCTCTAAGCAATGTTCTGGGTGATTAAAAGAGGCATAGAACGAGCAGAAGTTTCACATACGCATCGATAAATCATTCATAACTGTGCAGACATTAAATTTGGTTGTTAATAATGAACGCTTTCCGTCTGCGGAAATGTTACATTAATATGTTATTAATACGTATATCAGGACGATCCACTTGCGCGATGTATAATTCAAAATCACTATTACAGTCGGTTTGTAAATATTAATTCGATAACGTAGGAAAATGTAGAAATTATTTAGGAAAGATTATTTTCAGACATATCGACTAATACGAAAAGTTAAATAAAAATCGATTTAATATGCAATAAAAGCAGAATTTTGTAAGTCTATTTTTTCACGAATGCAAGCTGCATCGTGAAAGAAGCGCCGAAGCCTCTCGATCGAAATTGAACGCTTCTCGAATTTAGATAGCTGATCACTACGGTGCACGGCCAAAAGCGCAGACAAAACCCTCTAAAATCTGCAGTTTCGAAGCAACCGAAATCAGTGAAGCAAACACCTTTCCAAAGCCGCCCCACGCATGTAAGCGGCTTTCGGTAAGCCGTCCCACTTAATGACGCGTTGTCAAACGCGGAAATTTCTAATTGCCATTAGCGTGTCACAACCAAATGATTTACAAATTGCAAAGAAAATACACAAGAATACAAAGAGAATCTTCTAAATAAAAATCTGTAATTTATAAAAAAAAGTCAAATAATAAATTTTGTGTAATTCAAATTCGTGCATAAAGTATCAAGGACATTCGAAATATTCAGGTCATTATAAAGTATAGATATCTCTCAAATAACGTTATTCTTATTAATATCTCTTTTTCGACACAAATAAAAATTGCCATACGCTATGTTCTATCTTTAGCTTCTATTAATTGAAGAACATCGTCGCTCTTTATAAGTTCAAGATACCTAATAGATCTCGCGAGAGATGCAATCAATTATCGCGATCGTCAAGCTGGTAATCAAGCATTATCAAGAAAACCTCAGAGACAAAAATACATTGAGGAACTAGAGAAGGCGAAACGAGAGTAGTCGTCCAGGGGATCATCATTGGCCAAGTTCCAACGACACAAAAGGATAACGAGAAGAAGAAGAGGAAGAAGAAGACATCTCGCGGACTTGTTGCATTTCCATCGGCGTCTCATCCCTTTCCCTTCAGGGCGAACGCTTCGACAACGATCGCATTCACGCCCTTTTCACGGTCGTGAACCATCGAAATCGCGACGATAAATTTCCGCCGAATGGAAACGAGCGATGAGCGAAAACCACCAGCCGCTTCGCTGCTGAAGAGCAATTTCGCCTTTATAGTATTCGGCGCTTAAACGCCACTGCACTCTCTCTCTCTTTCTCTCTCCCTCTCTTTTGTAAAATGTACATTTCGCCGCGATGTATACATTTATACCGCTGAATCTCTTCGGTGGATCCGTACAAGCATTTTCAGAGGAAAAATCAATAATGCTAGAAGTGACGATATTGATAGTGTCTTTTCTCTCAACTGCACAATTTTCGATAAAAAATTCGCATATAATAAATATATAATCATTTCCGCATTACTCTCAGCTAAGATTCTTTCTACCAGAGAGTTATTCAATATTTCACGTTACATGTATCCAACTGGAACTCTGTTAAAATGAAGCTTAGTTAATAAATTAGTTACTTACTAACTACCTAAATTAGTTGATTACTAACTTATTCTGATGACTAAATTATTTAACACTCGAAGGAGTAAATTTTCAAATTTTGGAATGTAAATTATTTAATCGACACAATCGATGTTACAGTCGAGTTAGTCGGATGTCGGCCGACAGTTTCGGGTTTAGTTAGCCGGTTATCTGATTATTTCGGACTATAACGGGTTCCACAGGATTATTCAACCGGGAGTCGACAAACGCCGGTGTAAATGCTAACCGCGGACTATCGCGTCGGTCGTTTGTCGAAAGGCCCCCCGATATTATGTTTCTCCTATGTTTCGCGGCGGAATCGTTCAATTGCGGACGCACGAGAAACGATTTCGCGTACAATCGCTGCGAGTGTACCAGCCCGTAACAATTAAATGAACGATCGGGTCATTAGCCGAACAATTTGTCGTACACGAAACTCTCTGCGCGACTCCTGCCTGCTCGCTGTAACGCGCCCGGAGAGTACCGTAATTGAATGGGCAGATCTTTCCGCATCAAATCAGGATTAGATGCCATCGTTGGATGGCCTTGCGGGCTTGTAACTCGGCACTGACAGCATTTTCACGACATCCTTAAAAGTGTGTCGTCCAAACCGCGAAGTTGTTGGAAAGTCGCTCAGTGGGTCAGTTTTCGAGGAGGTTATATACTTTTTATTACTTTAATTAGACTTTTCTAGACAAATTGTAGAAATATTTTACGGAATATTAAAAATAAAAAGACTAACAAATCTAAAGAGTAGATAACAATGGCTAATTCTTCGATTTATTTCGTGGGATCTGTGACGTTCCCATCCGAATCGTTAATGATCCGGAATATCAGCGTGTGAAACATATAGGGACCAATAGAACAACGTTTTATTAAAAGGATTCACGAATATATTGGTTTAATGAGTGATTTTTCTCGGCGGAAGCCAATACGCTTTCGCACGCGGCGAGAATCAACGAATGAAAGAGCCAGCGAGATGCTGAGCAAAAAGTGATACCTGCTATTACCGCGTGATCGCTGGGAAATAAACGAGGAAAAGAATCTCAGCTTCGAGAGCTGCCAGGTCGCTTTTCTCAATTGGAAAATCCAGCGACCCAGCAAGAATACAAACGATCTGACAACCTTTGAATTATTCCCTCCTGCCGTTACAAAATAATGGATATTCTTCAATGAGTGTGGTTAAATCGAATCTCGATTTCAAATATTGCACATTATAAATGCCGATGGCAGCATTTCAATACAATGATTGATTTAAATGTAACATATACTATAAATTGTAAAAGAAAGACTAAGGGCCTGCGCACAATGAAAAATATAAGGAACAAGGAGTATATATTAGCGATTAGAAATAAGAAATCAGGAATAAAGCTGGTGTAACATTAATACACGGCTTCCAATAGATTAAAAATCTATTGTCTGTGTTATTCCCTGTTTCCGTAGCCTGTATTTTTCATTGCATGCGCATCCAACTTTATTTTTCATTCTTTAGTTCCTAATCGCTAATATCTGTCCCTTGTTCCTTATACTTTTCATTGTGCGGAGGCCTTAATGATGAAAGTTAATTTTGCCACACACGCGTTACTCCGGCATGAATGCCTGACTTTACGCTGAAACGGATTAAAACGAGTTTCAAAAGTGAGTTTATGAGTACGGCAACATGAAATCAGGCTCAGGTGACTACATTAACTTTCCGCATAATCGCATTTTTATTTTATTTATATACCACCGGAATATAACCCGCTCAATAATACTTTCGCAAACTTAATCCAAGTAATTTAAGAATTTTGCTGAAATTAGGGGAGATACCGCGTTTGCCGTCTCGCTAATTACGAGCGCGAAACTCAGCTCTCGGCACTTGTCCGGGGGTGTTAAAGTATAGCGAGTGCGACGAAGAAAGAAGCGCGAGGTTTTCGTTTCATCGTCAAGTAGCGCATGAAATATGCATCATTCGAAGCATCCGCGATTTTTCACCGGAAAATCCTCCCGCCCGCGCTGATGATGGCTGCTGCTCGCTCTCGGCTTATATGCACATGGCATTTCGTATGCTACGTA